CATTGGTATACGGAAGTCACGCATCTTATTCCATCTGCTGCTCCCGCGGTGGTCTGTGGGGTCACAGAGCAGGGACTGTCACCCCCACTTCAGAGGGCTGGAGAGCATGGCTCAGCTCAGCGAGAAGTGACTCACTCAACATGGTGCCATCAGAGGTTCGCTCACATCTGGCTTTTTGATTCCTAGTCCAGTAGTTTTACCACTCCAGAATGCCTGCGTGCCTTCCAGCTTGAAATATTTAGGGCACTAATTACTTGTAATGAAAAAGAGACTTTATTTTTCTCATCAGTCCTTTTAAGTTGTTTTGTGTGTATTATGTTCTGGATGCTGTTCAGTAGAGAGGCATCTCTAAAAGCCTGTGTTCATCTGCTTTCCTGTCTGACGATGGGGGGGGGTTCTCTGGATTTGGATTATTAGATAGTATGGGGCGGAGAGCTAAGCAGAAATGCTACAGTGATATGTGTGTGTGTGTGTGTTTAAAAGTACCAAAGCTAGAAAGAATTTTAGACTGAATTCTTTGAAAAATCAACAGGAAAAAACTCACACTGTTTGCTTAGAAATTATAAATCATTACAGCTTTCACTGATGAACTTTGCTGATTTCTGAAAGTATGTCTCTCTTTGGCTTAAATCTGACAATAGTGTGCTGTCAGAACCGATTATTTGAGCACACTTAGTGTTCTGTGGTCCTTCGGTATTCAGAAGTCTGGGTAATTAAACTCTGAAGTCAGGGCATCTGGCCTTCCTTCAGTTAAAAACAGTTGCAGATAGAATGCCAGTGATTTAAATACAAAAATATGATGACATTTTACACTCTAAAGGCATCCATACTATAAATCTTAGTGCTTAAAACTACCTTCTTTGAAAAGTCTTGTTGAAAGTCAGAAAGGGAAATATATTTTCATGACATATTGTGACTACTTATTAAGGATATTATTGCTGTATTTTTTGGAACTGACTATATTTCACTGCCGTTACCTTTTACCATATGTTACATAAAATTCTGTTGGTTACATTTTGCCACCTCTGGAGACAGATCTGGCTGATTAGCTTTACCCTGGGAACCCAGTGGCCTGTAGTGAATGAGAAATTCTTCTGGCATTCAAAATAATTGAAGGAAAATCACAGAGAAACATTGTAGACCCTTCTACTATGAAAATGAACCATCCGAATAATAAATAAGCTTCTCTGTTTATAGTTGACCCAATTTAACAAAGAAAATACTTAAATTTAAGGCAAAAATTTGTTTGCGTATTTGATTTGATACGTATTTCCAGTTTTTCCTTTCATCTACATATTAGGGTTTTCCTTTGTTGAGCTGAATCTTTTTGTGATTTCCTCTATCCTTTGCTGGGTGGGAAGAAAAATTGACGGTGACTTATGTTCATTGTTTCTAATGTTTAGTCTGGAAAGAAAAGACAGAGCCACGGTAGCACATTGTTTTGGACACTTGAAAAGTAGTGTCAGTAGCATCTGACAGAGACTAGAACTGCCGAGTTCCTGCACAGTGATAACTGTTATTTAATATACAGCGACAAAGTCCTAGAGATATGAATGGCTAGACTGAAGCAGGAAGATTTTCATTCCTCTTCCTACTTTAGCTAATTTTTTCTGTGTAACTGGCTTAGGAAGACTGTGCAAATCAAACAGAATTTGGAATTGAAATGGTTTTTATTGCAAGATGAGAATTTGACTTCATTACAGGCCCCAGGTTTTTGGAAGACAGTCCTCAATACACTTCATTTCCATGAAAATTCAAATAGAAGAAGATGATATTTGGAAGACTAGTTTTGAAAGAAAAAAAATACAAATTGGCTGCAAAGATGATACTGGAACATGGAACATGATACTAAGAGGAATTCTGAATCTTCTTTATTCATTAGACATTAAAAATGTTCAATGTATTAATTACTTCAGGGTTCAGAATCAAGTTAAAATAGATAAATGGGGACTTTAATAATAGCCATCTGTCCAGGAGGTTTTTTTGCTTTGGTTTCCCTGGAAAGAGGAGGGATGGATTAGATTATCTTTGGAGATCTCTTTTATGAGACTGACGCGCTGCCTGCTGCGCTAAGAGGGCAGATTGAAGATCTCTTTTAGATATTTCAATGCAGGCAGTGCTGTGGTTGTAGGGTAGGAAGATAAAAGTCATGTGAGCAGATAATCTAACAGCGTCAGTGAAGTGTTGAAGACTGGGATGGAGGAATGAGGATGCAATCAGCCACTTGAAAGCTGGAGAAAACAGGTAGCCTGTGGAGACCACGTAGGAACTTAAGAGTCATTTGGGTAAGGATGTTTAGAATAAAATAAATGGGCAGCAGCTCTGTTAATAAACAGAAAAAGTTATCTCAAAGATGAATGTGTGGGCCACTGCAGTATATCACGAGTGTTGTGAAAATGTAAGTAATAGTATGTAAATTTAGATTATTGAAAGTGATGAATCTTGTAAGAATTTGAATATAAAATTCAACTGTGCGCCTCGTAAGGTGGAATATGATGTAAAAAGGTAATAAACATCCAGAATGTGCATACATCTATGGGATGTATGGAAATGAGCTACTGAGTCACTGAACACAGTTGGAGCCAAAGTGCTGAAGTGTATAAAGAACAAAACTGCCCCTGGTCAAATGGGCTTACAATAATAAGTCATGGAGAAACCTTTGTTACGTTTCACATCTTTGAAGAAGGAATTTGAAGTGTCAAACACTTCTGATGTATGTTGTACTTAATACTGGGGAACAAATGTATGGCTAAGAAGGGCCATTAACTGGTTTCTGTAAGTAGTGCTAACCTCTCAAACTGAGCTATCCCGCGGGCAGGCACAACAGCGGTGTTCCCCTGTGTAAAATTGGTTGGGTTTGTGTGGATTTCAATGATAGTGGTGGACTTAAAATTTCAGTTCTGAAGACATTTTTCTTTCGGGTATCTAGTGGCGTTGCTACCTGTTCTGCTTCATTTAGCAGCTGGTCTATAAAAATCATTTTGTTACTGTCGCTTTGGAGGAACCTGGAAAGGAGACTTCATACCTGGATGTTTAAAATTACTTATTTCACTCTGCTTAAAGTAATGTGAACTGGGGTCTCCTTTGAGGAAAACATAGAGCATCCTTTCTATCTGTCCTAGCAGTGTGGCTGGACATCTTTGGCAATACCTGGAGGGCAGAGAGGGTTCTGAGTTGAGAGATAAGCAGGGAGGCAGGGCAACTTTCAGGCACCTCCCAAAGCAGGTGTTTTCAACGTGAGTTTGTTATTTAATGAGAAGGGTTATTAACAAATTCCCATAGCTTCACACCTAAACTGATGAGATATAAATATGAGGTATTTATAGTCCTAAATCCTTTTAGCAATTACAGTATCGAAAATTAAATCCCTCGTTCCAGTGAGGGTGTGCCATTTCATTACAGAGATTTTTAAATGATCAACTGAGGATCCTAGGGCATTTGAGAACTCACTAATTGTTTGAGAGACGTGGCAGATACAAGATCGTAGGAGCAGGCTCACTGTGTTTTTTCCCAGAAAAGATATGTTAGAATCTTGAAACGTCAGTCTTTGCAGTGCGTGGGGCAGATGCTTTTGTACAACAGAGTTTGGGTAACCTGACCTCTAGGGATGGCTTCCCGGCCTGCAGGCCAGAGCGTGATCCGGCCTGTGCCAGTCTGCCTGATCTCAGCACCCACCCTTTT